TGCTAGGACAAGCTATAGGTAAATGCAGGAAACACAAGTTAAAAAGCCAGAACAATACTACAGCAGTGCATGCTGCAATGCTGCAAGTGAGGATGATGAGGGTATGCCAGCTAAATTGTGAATGGACAGCACTTTTGAGAAGGCTAGCTGAGTTAATCACACACAGACACTTGATAGAGAGGGATGGTAGAGATCAGCACCTGGAGGACAAGGAGGACTAGAAAGAGTAGATCATAGTTTAAAGCTGAAGAAAGGAGCTTTGTTTAATAGGTGTCTGGACTCATCCTCAGATCATTCAGGAGGTGTTCACAGCAAATCTGATAGTGCCCACATCTAACAGAAAGAACTGAGGTTGTTTGAGCAGCTGACTAAGATACCTCCTTGGTAAGTTGTTTCTGGCAACTTTGGAGATTATGGGATGCATTCGCATGAATAGGAAAACTCAGAATATAGCAAATCATAAACACAGAACACTACAGCAACATGAAATCACAGACCAAGAAAGGGTATTAGCAACAGTGCTCCATGTTGAAAGATGTCACAGTTCCTAACACCTTTAATAGACTGAGAAAGTGGGAAAGTGAGGCACTCTTGAAGTATAACTGGTTTCATTCAGTGGGTATGATTCAGAAAAGGTTACTTTTAACTGGCATCACGTTAAGACAAGTTTCCAAAGTGAGGATGTCCCAGTCTGTTACATCTCCTCTCCCCTCTCATGACTCTTCAGCTGTGGCCCAAAACGTCGGCTGCATCCTCTGGAGACATCATGGTCATGGCTTCCTCTGTCATTTAATACTCTTTATGACCCTTCCACCTTCTTTTTAAACATACATTTTCCCCTGAGTTCAAATGATTTATTAATACAGTTTTGAAATGGATAATCATGTATTTTGTATGTGATCAGTGGCGTATTAAAGATTACTAAAAAAAAAAAAACAGTAATCTTAAGCTAAATTATGGTGTATATTTGTTGAAAATGACAAAGAATAGAGGTGGTTTTTGTGGTGACCACTCATTAAAAGCTGTTAAAAACAAAAGTCATAGAGGAAAGTACTTTCAGATTTGACCACAAAACTGGGTCACCCATTAATTGCAGATGGTTGTTGAAAGGAAACCCCCATAAAGTTACATGTAGGAGGTGCAAACCACTAATAAAATCAACACCCGCAGGTTAACATGAACGAAACTGATCACGTCACAGAGAGTCCCTGTGCTCGGTCTGTGGAAAGCCCTTCCACAGACCAAGGGAACATCTCTCTTTCTCTCTCCATATATATATATATATATATATATATATATATATATTTTTTTTTTTTTTTTTTTTTTTTTTCAGACTCTGTCTCTCACAGTTGAAGTGTACCTCTGGTGCAAATTACTGACCTCTGTCATCATTTTAAGTGGGGGTACCTGCACAATCGGTGGCTGACTAAATACTTTTTTGCCCCACTGTATATATATATATATATATACTTAAAATGATGACAGAGGTCAGTAATTTGCACCAGAGGTACACTTCAACTGTGAGAGACAGAGTGTGAAAAAAAAAATCCATGAATCCACATGGTAGGATTTGTAAAGAATTTATTCGTAAATCAGGGTGGAAAATAAGTATTTGGTCAATAACAAAAATACAACTCAATACTTTGTAACATAACCTTTGTTGGCAATAACAGAGGTCAAACGTTTACTATAGGTCTTTACCAGGTTTGCACACACAGTAGCTGGTATTTTGGCCCATTCCTCCATGCAGATCTTCTCGAGAGCAGTGATGTTTTGGGGCTGTCGCCGAGCAACACGGACTTTCAACTCCCGCCACAGATTTTCTATGGGGTTGAGGTCTGGAGACTGGCTAGGCCACTCCAGGACTTTCAAATGCTTCTTACGGAGCCACTCCTTTGTTGCCCAGGCGGTGTGTTTTGGATCATTGTCATGTTGGAAGACCCAGCCTCGTTTCATCTTCAAAGTTCTCACTGATGGAAGGAGGTTTTGGCTCAAAATCTCACGATACATGGCCCCATTCATTCTGTCCTTAACACGGATCAGTCGTCCTGTCCCCTTGGCAGAAAAACAGCCCCATAGCATGATGTTTCCACCCCCATGCTTCACAGTAGGTATGGTGTTCTTGGGATGCAACTCAGTATTCTTCTTCCTCCAAACACGACGAGTTGAGTTTATACCAAAAAGTTCTACTTTGGTTTCATCTGACCACATGACATTCTCCCAATCCTCTGCTGTATCATCCATGTGCTCTCTGGCAAACTTCAGACGGGCCTGGACATGCACTGGCTTCAGCAGCGGAACACGTCTGGCACTGCGGGATTTGATTCCCTGCCGTTGTAGTGTGTTACTGATGGTGACCTTTGTTACTTTGGTCCCAGCTCTCTGCAGGTCATTCACCAGGTCCCCCCGTGTGGTTCTGGGATCTTTGCTCACCGTTCTCATGATCATTTTGACCCCACGGGATGAGATCTTGCGTGGAGCCCCAGATCGTGGGAGATTATCAGTGGTCTTGTATGTCTTCCATTTTCTGATGATTGCTCCCACAGTTGATTTCTTCACACCAAGCTGCTTGCCTATTGTAGATTCACTCTTCCCAGTCTGGTGCAGGTCTACAATCCTGTTCCTGGTGTCCTTCGAGAGCTCTTTGTTCTTTGCCATGGCGGAGTTTGGAGTCTGACTGTTTGAGGCTGTGGACAGGTGTCTTTTATACAGATGATGAGTTCAAACAGGTGCCATTCATACAGGTAACGAGTGGGGGACAGAAAAGCTTCTTACAGAAGACGTTACAGGTCTGTGAGAGCCAGAGATTTTCCATGTTTGAGGTGACCAAATACTTATTTTCCACCCTAATTTACGAATAAATTCTTTACAAATCCTACCATGTGGATTCATGGATTTTTTTTTCACATTCTGTCTCTCACAGTTGAAGTGTACCTCTGGTGCAAATTACTGACCTCTGTCATCATTTTAAGTGGGGGAACTTGCACAATCGGTGGCTGACTAAATACTTTTTTGCCCCACTGTATATATATATATATATATATATATATATATATATATATATATATATAGTGTGAGTCCGTTCAAGCAGGAGATGAGAGATTTGAAACAACTGAAGGACGACACTAGCAAGATTAATTAGCACTTCCCCTGCCGGTGGCGGACTCCCTCAGGTATCGGTGCGTTGGTGGTTCTTTGTATCTGGGGGTGGGCGTCCGGGTACACACCGGCTCACTCCTTGGCGGCCGCTTATTGGGGCTCGCTCGGGCCACTTCAGGCACAGCTGGCTGCCGGCGGAGCTCACGGGCGCGTCACTGCTACTCCCCCTGGCTTCTGCTCCGCGGCTGCTGAGTGAGCCCTCATCTGGGACTCTCCTCAGCTCTTACTGGGACAGTGGCGCAGCTGCCCATCTGTGGGTCTTCCTTGGTCTCTTGTGTTCTGGGGGCCTCTGGATGTCTGGAGCTTTGATCTCCTCCATACCTGCTTGATACCACAGAGGACAGGGCTGTGGCTCCCCACACTCTCTAGCAGATCGTTACATGGAGAAACCTTTGGAATGCAAGCATGCTGATCCACACAGGTATGCACACAGGTGTACACACGGGTATTCACAGACGCGGACTACAGCTTTCTTGGCTGCTGCCTCAAAGCACACTGTGCGCTGTCTATCTTGCGTGCTGCACAATATCGTTTATTATTTAGTAACTATTGATATCTATGACTAGCTAGTTTATTGTGATGGTGCTTTTTTTTTTTTTTTTTTTTTTTTTTCTATTATTATGTTGCTCTTTGTTGTTTGCTGTCTCCCCTGTTTTTTTTTTTGTTTTTCTCTCTCTCCATACAGGTGACCCAGGAGTTTTTTTTTTGTTTGTTTTTTTTTTCTCTCTCTCTCTTTCCCCCCTTCTCACCGTCTCTTCTCCCCTTTGGTTTTCTTTCTTTCTCTCCCCCTCTTTCTTTCATTCTTTCCCCCTGTCCTAAAAAAAAAAAAAAAAATGGATGACAAAGGATGAACTGAAGCTCCGCCATCACGTGATGTCACATGCTGCTGTTTCTGATGTCACTTCAAGAAAAAAAAAAAAAAAAAAAAAAAGATTAATTAGCAGGGAGGTAATTACAGTAATTACATTTTTATATTTTGTCTCTCAGTGATTCAAAATCACTGAATCATACCTGTTTGTTATCCTAAAAGCAGAGACACAATACATGGCCTAAAATATTAGGCTCTTTGGCTCTGCTAGATATACAAACAATAATAGAAGGAGGACTCTTTAAAGATCAATAGCTTCAGTTATTTAAGCTGATCTCACTATTTCTGTTCCTGTGACTCAAACAAATAGGTTTGACATCACATTATTCTTTCTTACACTGACACCACTTTCACAAAAGTTTCAAAGATGACTGTTAAGATCCTGTTAAATCTATAGTTATACCTCCTCTGCTGCCATCTGCAGTGGGAGGGACTAAGATGTGAGGAGTGGAGTTAATTATCTGCAATCTAAGGAAGGACAAAGACATATGTTTCTTGGCTGACTTGGGAACGCCTCAGTGTTTCCCTAAAGGAGCTGGAGGAGGTGGCTGAGGAGAGGGAGGTATGGGTGTCTTAATCAGTATGAATAAAATATGTATTTGTGAATAACTTTTCAAGTGATTTCTGAATGTTCACTTTTACTTCTGCCATATCGGTTAAATGCTGCCTCCTGGTGTCCTGTGATCATGACGTGATCATGAAATAATCACAACAATAAGTATTTTGTTGTCAGTTATAACACCTACAGCAAATAATAATTAATCACACAGACCATTAAACAATCTGATTGCAAAAACTTTTTTATTCATTTATCTTTGTTCTCAGATTGAAGACAGAATAAGAAAACTTCAAACATTCATACTTAATAAAATTTGTAACAATTATAAACAAAACTGTTTTTTAAAGCGCTATCAGTAATTACTGAGAAAAGTCAACATTTCTTAATAAATATTTCTGTTAAAGTGTGAATTAACAAGCAAAAAATACTAGGGTCTTGTTTCCTACAGGTTTTGTTTCATCGTTTCCATCATCTTCATTTAGAAATCACTGGAGGACACAGCAGAGTTCCCTGTGGTGGTGAAAGAATGAAGGTGACATGAAAAGAAGAAGCACCATTAGACAGATACACACAGTGTCGTTTTATTACCTATATTATAATCTTCACATATTTGCTAGAAAGTCACTGCTGGTTTTTCTAAACTTTTCCACATTTTTATTAATATTTCGTTTCTCACCTCATTTATTTTCCTTTTAAGCCACTCGGTATTTGGTCTGAGGAAAAATGTTCTTCCTGCACGTGTTTTGACCCTGGAAGAAAAAAACAGAAGAATAAAGAAAGAAGTTTAGAGCGAAGAAGACAAATCAAAGGATTGGACATTTTCACTTTATTGTTAACTGAACATGTGCAGGGTCCATTTTGCATTATGCTGTGAGAGAACAGCTCAGGTTTCCTCCAAGCTCATAAGCACAAACTCACAGATTCCCCAACGTCACCACATTAGAAACAATCACAGAGCAAACAGTAGTGCTGTATGTTAGAGAGGGGAACATTTATCTGCTACATCAAGGTTTCAGTGCAAATCTCATTTTCATTGTTGTGTTTGTGGATTTTTAATCAAGAATTAATTTCTACATTTTATTTGGTTTAAGTGTATTTAGAAGAAGTTCTACTTACTCATAGCCATGAAGGCAGCCATGTCTGTCGTCTTCAAAGCAGCTGATGATGTTTTTTGCCCATTTAGGTGTAGACATGTTTATTACACCACTGTTAGAATGTGTTTTATAGCTGGTTTTCCCCACGAATTCAGCCCCTGCAGCACATCATCACACACATTGTCATTATTCTTCAGAGCCTTTCAGATATCATGGACAATGAAATAAGCTGAACTCTCAGATGTTGTATAAATAATTTACTGATCTGTTAGCTGGTGTTACTGAACTTTGACAACAGAGAAATAAAACCTGTACCTGATACAGAGATGAGCATCACCACACTCAGGGAGATCAGAAGAATCAGGCGGCTGGTGGAGAGACTCGAACACATGTTGAGACGCTGAAAGGCACCAAATCTGAGTCTGGATCTGAGCTGTGAACAGGTTTGTTACCAGCTGATGAACTTGTCAAAGTGTGACAGCAGCTCATCTTATATACTGTAGCTTGTCACTGAATTAGGGGCTGTTTGGTGATGTATTTACACAAAAATAAACACTGATGGAAACACGACAACCACAGACTGCTGTGGTGAGCAGCTTCCTTTCTCATGTTTGTTTCAACAAACTTTGTTGAAATTTGTTGAACAGCTTAATGTGTCTGTAATTTGTTTAAACATGCTAATATGTATAGTAGTAGTATTAACATTACTAACAGCAGTAGTAGTGGTAGTAGAATCGTAGATCTTCAGACGACAGCCAGTACAAACAGATTATTTATTAAATACAATGTTGGACATGAAACACAAGTATACGAGTTTAACCGTAAACATAAGCTGCTGTAAAATCAATCCATTTAACACTGAAGGGAAACATTTTACTAATTATTATTTTTATTTTTGATATTTTTTCACAGTTTTCCAATAACACAGTTTTGTGTATTATGGGAAGCGATATTTCCAGAGCTGAGGGCAGCAGTGTTCAACTGGATTGTTGCACATCTCTAATAAAAACATGGAGAATTAAATGCATCTGTTTGAATGAATGTTTTTCTTTCACTCTTTTGTTGACTTGTTGGAAACTTGCACTACTTTGTTTAATAGTGACAGGAAAGGTAAAGTTAGTTAGTTTATTACATACAGAGAAGTATTTGAATATGTTTTATTGATAAATGCTCCCTCGGTGTGTGGAAAGGATTTCCATTGGCTGAGCACGGGGACTCTCTGTGACGTGATCTTCCACCAGTTTCGTTCCTGTTGACCTGTGGGTGTCGGTTTTATTAGTGGTTTGCACCGCCCACATCTAAATTCTCAGAATAAAACAGTGACATTACTGGTGACCAGCTTCTGTGGCCACATTTAAGAGGACTTTCCCTGTGACTTTGTCTTTAATAGCGTTTAATGAGTGGGCTTCACAGAAACTGCTTTTAGTAACTGTCAACAGGTACAGACCTTAAATTACACGCTTAAGATTACCATTTAGTAATCTTCACTACCACACTGATCATCCTGTGATGATTTATTTCCAAACTTTATTGAGTGTTTGAACTCAGGGAAAAGGTATGTTTTTAAAAAGCAGGTGGAAGGGCCATAGACAGTATTAATAGATAGAGGCCATGACTGTGATGTCATCTACTCGTTTCGAGACTCATTATGAAGCATCATCACTTCAGCCATCGTGGTGTGTTGAAACAGGCTGTGATAAGTGAAGTCATTAGCCAGAAAGCTTCGATGGGGAATCGTCCTTTCTGACTCTGAGTGTTTACACAGTTTACAAAAATTGACTTTTTGTTCTACTCAGTATTAAATTAGGAACGTCTATACAACAGGAAGACTTTTGTCAACCAGATGGTTTGCCCTCTGGTGGCCATTAGAAATATGGCAATTTCAAGGCTCTACATTAGCTCTACTCTTTACCTGGACATCTTCAGTACTGGCTGTGGTTCCTCACTGTAGATTGGCAGATTTGAGCCCTGGTGATTTCTGGGTTGTTCCTTATCATCCTAATTAATTTCCTCTTAAAGCAAATGAATGACACATTTAAAGAATTTAAAGAATTTGTCTTTAAGTGCAATTGTTTGAACCTTTGACGTCACACTTTCTTATAAACAGCTTCACAAGTCATTCTAGAATATTGTAAATATACAATGCATTCCCCTGATTTTCCTGTCGTTCTCACCCATATGGAAAAGATATATATAAATCTTATAAAGTTTGTATCTGTCTTGTGTGGAACTTGTATGAAAAGCATACAAGAGTGAAAACAGATTTAAGATCCCTTGAAAAATTATATAAATGAAACTTTGTATGTTTTGGATACTTACTAAAACAATATATGAAAGTAATGAGAAAGTGGCCACTTTCATGAGTAAATCATATAAGCCTTATATGATTCACTATATGAAGTCTTTTATACATTTTTTCTATTTCTTTTCCATATGGGCAGTGAGATCAATCCAACGAGTACTATGAGGCCAAAAACTGGTATTAACAAACCTCGCACAGAAACAAAGAAGAATGAGAACTTAGAGATGAAGCTCCATCTCTCTCACACACACATACTCAGGCTCAGCTGTGTTCCAAACACAGCGGCCAAACTAAAATGTGAGCAGGCCTAAAAATAAAAAATAAAATAAACACTCACGAGGCATTTAAACACAACAATTACCTTTCTGTCTGAGACTTAAAACAAAAGGTGACATGGAAAAATCTTTGAAACACCTGCTGTTATAGTGGTCCTATATATTGATACTGTTGAAGTTTTAAATCTATAAAAGAAAAATTACACTGCACATGTCTACAAACAACAATGCCCTGGACTGTCAGTGGTCATGTCCACAGACCAGCTGGACCACATACGCTGTACGCTGCCTTTATCAACACCAGAGCTCTAGGCAGGTAGATGGGCCGTTCCCAGACTGCCAGCAGACTGCAAATGTGCTCTCCACACTGAGCCATAAATTATGGCTGTACAACTCATGCTACAAAGGATATTAAGCAAAAACATGTTTCAGGCATTGCAGTTGTCAAAATTGAGACAATACAATTAGAGAAGTCAGAAAGACCGATTCATGCATCTGAACAACCAGTTGACGCACTGGAATTAATGGAGGATTTCTTCTCCCGACTCGATCTGCCTACCATACCAACAAAACAACAGACCACCCCCAATGCTCCCATTTCTAGAGAGGAAGTACTAAACGCTATAAAAACAGAAATGCCCCAAGACCTGATGGTGCTTTCAGGGCCCCGAAAAGCGCTGTATAAATGCAATCCATTATTATTCATTGCAATCCATTATTTAATAGTAAATTTTATAAAGAATTCAGTGAGCTGTTAATAGATCCATTAGTCAATATGTTTAATTATTCATTCTTGAATAATAGTTTACCTCAGACTCTAAGGGAAGCTAATAGTGTGCAGAGTCTTGTTCCTCTTATAGACCGATAGCTCTTCTAAATGTGGACCAGAAGATACTTTCTAAAATAGCTACTCGACTCAAAATTCTCTTGCCTATAATTATTAAAGAAGATCAAACAGGCTTTATAAAAGGCCGTAATTCCCGTAATAATGTCAGGCACCTTCTCAGCAAAGGAACATGAGTGGTTTGGTTGTTTCTCTGGAAGCTGAAAAAGCTTTTGACCGGATAGAATGGACATACTTATTTTACACTTCAAATAAATTCAGTCTTGTTAATGATTTCATTAAGTGGGTAAATATTCTGTATGATACTCCTCTGGTGTCCATTTTGACTAATGGACTGAAATCAGATAGTTTCCCATTGTTTAGAGGAACGAGGCAAGGCTGCCCCCTGTCACCTATTTTTTTTGCTATTGCCATCGAATCGTTAGCCAAGGCTATAGGGAGGGCACCTGATGTACAGTGTTACGGCCCTGGGCTGGCTTTGTACTTTTGTTGTGCTGTGTCTTTAAGACTCCACAGGTCCTTCCCGATTGGAGAGCTGGCGGCGGCTGATTGGTCCCTGATCATGTGGCTCTTTTCAAAATCCCTCACCAGCAGTTGTTGTAGGGCCAGCCACTGACAGCAGCAGCAGACCTGACCCTGGCCTCATGCTTGTGATTCTCGTGAATTACTGAGCTTGTATATAGTGTGTAAATTAGTCTTCAATTGTAACTAGCACATTGTAAATAGACACTGAAACAGAAGGGGTGAGCTGCCTTATTATTTTTCTTGTACTGTTTTCTAGTGATAGTGAGATGAAGCCTCTTGATGAACTGAAGCTTTCCATCCATCTGGTCGACTCATGGTTTGAAACATTGTGATTTCATTTGCTCTATTCCGCCATCAAGTGGACGATTCAAGTGAAACAGGCTCTTTGATTATAATGATGTGATGTGTAAACCGCTAAACTGAATAAATAAATTGTTTTCATGGTTATTTATCACGAATATCGTCTCAGTATGTCTGATACAAAAGACAAAGTGGAAACTATCAACACAGAGTTTTGGTATGATTGTGTAACTGTGTAATCATGCTTATGTACATCAGGATAATGACACAAAGTAGTGTGTGGCGCTTCACTTTTTAATAAACTAAAAGAAAGAAATCAGATTATAGGATCTGTAGTGTTGTTTATTTATATTATGGTACTTGTGATATTTATTACTGTGTGCATACTATATTAGGAGAGATGAGATAAAAAAAAAAATCTCTTCCTTGCTGGTTCCATCGAAGAAGAAATGCTCAAGTAACTATTATGTAGCACGTAGGTAATCCAATTCCACAACACAGCGTGATGAGGGAATCAGCTGTGTTTTGCTGCCCATTTTATTTCGAATCTGGCGCGAACCGGCGAGCCAGTTCCTGAATCAGTCACGTGGTACGGACTGCCCACGAGGCCTCGAACGTCACTGCATACGTAATCAAAGCGAGCCTCAAAAACTCCCCCGAGATTACCCGACACACGCTTCGAAGCTTCGAGACACAAGATACATCACTACTGTTTTCTCCTGTTTATTTCAGTTAGGGAGTTACAGACAACAGACAAAGAACAGACAAAATTTGTCTTTTGTTTGGTTTTTGTTTCACATAGGGTTTTAGATGGCACCTCTTCTCCTGACTTAGCTTGTTTTGTTTGTTATTTTGGCCTTTGC